ACATAAACAGTTAGAGCCCTATGAAGAAGATAAGTTATGTCAGATGAGGTCGATACATGTATTACTTAAGGAATTAAGTATTTGAGGAAACCACTTATTAAGTCTGATGATTATAAGACAAATATAAGGCATGTAAACCTCAAGTAGTCATTTACAGACACAGGAAACAACACAATTTTATCTTATAGAAGTATGTGTTACAATCAATTGTATGAAATTTGGACTCATAAGGGTCTCGTTACTCTATGGAATAAGGTCCAGACGGGAAAATGCCCAAATAATCGTGATATGATACGATGTTTATGCAGGTCCCCAAATCATTAGTATGAACCTGGGGAGAAGCATCTAGAAATAGTAGACTTTGACAGGAGAACCACAGACGATGTGAGATGTATCACAAAGAGGTTTGATACAGCTCACAGTCGCCAGAAGAGCTATGCGGATAAATGCCGCAGACGTATAGAGTTTCAAGTAGGAGACTTAGTTTTCCTGAAGGTGGTACCGATGAAAGGAGTAATAAGATTCGGTAAAAGAGGGGTATGCGACAGATCCATCGCATGTATTGCACTAGGAACTTGTCGAAGTGCACGCAGTCCAGATCCTAGCTCGCGAGGAGAAAACCTTAAGGAATAAAGTAATTTCTCGGGTTAAAGTCTTGTAGTGAAATCATAATATTGAGGAAGTTACTTGAGAACGTGAAAAGAATACGAGGAAAAGCTACCTCGAGTTGTTCTAATTTTCGGAACGAAAATTTCATAAGGGGGGTAGATTGTAATGACAGAGAAAATTCCAGACCTTAAATAATACAATTCATGTATTTTTAAGCTAAGGATTTTCCTAGAAAATATTATGTTATATTGTGAATGGAGGATTTATGGAATTAATATATGTATTCCTAAATTCTATAGTAGATTTCATGTTAAGTTCATGTTTCGATTAAGTAAATTTGATCGATAAATTCTCACCATTTTTTAAGGCGGAATAATTTTCAGTACAAGTATAGTTTGGGAATCTTAATTTCAAGAATCTCTAAGCACAACATGAAATTAGCAGCGTATAAAAAAAACGCACTGACATTTTAAAAGAAGAAAAAAACCCTTAATTGCCAGACAGTTATGTTAAAGTCACAAGATAAATACCCATAGTAGAAGGGTACAATGTGAGTTCGGGAGTTGACACCGTCATAAACAACGTCATTCCCGGAATATAATGCAGAATAGATAAATTTAGAAATTGTTCAGTCTAGAATTAATTTTAAGACTTGAAACAGTTCAAAATATTACACGAGTAAGAATATAAAACAATATTGAATTATTCAGAAATTAATGTTGGACTGTAAGTAGTAGATTAAATTACGTGAGCTAAATTAAGTACCTCTAATCAGTATAAATTTAATATGTTTAGAGGAAATATTTAAGGATAAGATCAAGCACGTAATCTTGCCTTAATCAGACACTTTATATAGTGAAATAATTAGGGTACTCTCACTTTCTCTCTCTTATTCCTGCTCACTCTCTCTCTCTTCTCTCACGTTCTCTCACAAAACCATCATTGGCCAAATACTTAAGTTGAGATTCCGAGCTCCGTTTTTGACACCGCCGGTGTCAATAGAAAGATCTCGATGAGCCGAGTTCAACGACATGCGGCACGACCTCTAACTCTGCCAAAATAAGTCGCAATCGCCGGCGAAAATTCTGAAATTACCCATTTCTTCCCGTCCTGATATCTCCGCCATCCGACCTCCGATTGAGATGATTTCTGTCCCTATGGACTTAGTACAGCGAGATGAAGAAAACCCATCCTTTTTCATAGCTCGATTCTGGACAGAGCACTGCCGTCTGTGGTGGCCGGAATCGCCACCGCCGCCACCGTCGTTTCTCTCTCTCCAGGCCATCGTGGATGTCACCGCCCCCACCAATCGACTCAGAAGTCAACGCCCAGTAGATCCCGACCAGCAGCCACCGTCACCGTCACAGTTTGGCTGGAAAATAGAGCCACTACCATCATCCATGGAGGGAAGAGGTGGTTCTGATGATCTAATCGTTGGATTGTAGTAACTTTGGTGTCACAACACTCAGAAGGAAGCGGGTAAGAAAACCTCTCAACCAATTTTAAGAATTGATGACCGGAATTCTGCGATTGGAGTTGCCAGATTTTACCGACGTTGCCGGTCCCGATAGGTACTGTTACAGGCTGAATGGTGTGAAATTGACCGCACCAATGGACTCAGAAGGGTCAAGTTAGGGGGCTAGGGCCCAAGTCCGCCGCGGAAAAACTCTCCGGGAGCCTCCGCCGCCGCCATATTCCAGCGAGGTGTCGTTTCTCAGGCTATCGACATCCGTTTGATGATCCGAGACCATATCCTGACTCGTTTCGACGTGTTGAACGAAATGATGACGTCTGTTCAACCAAATTCAATTCTTATAAGAATGGTCTGGTACTCGTTGCACGCGGATCGAGGTGGTTTAGACTAAACAAGTGAAGATCAGAATCGAGTGTTTAAAGTTACGATGTTCCTCAAGGATCATTCATAGTGTTTGCAGCTTTTCCCAAAATTAGTTTTGAGGAATACGCAGGAGGACATGACAAGCGAGATACTATCAAAACCGCTTAGCTCAGATCCATGCAAGTACAAACCGTGCTTACAGTTTAATTAAGATAGTCATATAAGGCGTATGATTTTCACGAAATACGTTAATTATGAGATTCGCGAATTAGGTTTATGTTTATGTTAAACACCGTATATAGTTTTCCAATAAAACTTAACAGTTTTCAAATAAGCATGTAAGCGAAAATCGTAAAGAAACGATACGCTAGTCCCTTAATTTTATGACGGTAAATATGGACCTCAACACAATTATGAGCCCGTCAAGTGAGGTAAAGGTAAAGTTATTAAAAGTGTATTATGGATGATAATTTAATTAATTATTAAAACTAATTAATTAAATTATCTAAGACTTAGAATATGGTTAAGGAAGTTAATTAATTACTAAGATTAATTAACTAACTTATGTAGACTGAGTATATGAATAAGAGGGTAAATTAATTACCAAAATTAGTTAACTAAATTATTAGACTTATTATAAGGATAAGATAATTAATGAATTATCAATTTAGCACAAATTTGTAATGGCAATTAAGGAAAATAAGATTTTGAGGATTTAATAAATTGATCCTTATAGTAAATTATCCTTCAGTAAAGGAAAGGAATACATGCCTTAAGTAAAGGGCTAGATTTCCTTCATAAGCTGCTAAAATAGAATAGCAAACGACAGATAATCTTGCACTCTCAATGGGTATTCATTTTCAGAAGTAAGCAAGTAAGCAGCGCACATGAATTATATGTGTTTGAGTTAATTTAATATTATGTATACTATACTAGATCATACTGCATACACTGAAGCAGTGCACATGAAGTATACGTATTTGAGTACATTCTATGTTATAGTATGCTTTGCTATGTCATATTGCATACACCTTAATAAGTCAAGAGAACTTATAAGAATAATATCAGTTGAGTGCCGTACTAGCCTCCACAAGGGAGGTAACTCAAGCTCCACAAGGGAGAAAAAGAAAATAACAATAATGTCCTCCGACTCAAGGGAGGCATTCAAGTTATAATCACGGTGTCGTGGGGGACCTTGCAAACCCTCACGTTCTGATGATCGCGCGCAAGTGGTACGCGAGCACTCGGGCCCATCAGCAAGAAAGATACGATAAGATAATAAGATTATGATAAGACATCATAATTAAGCATAATCAGCTCATGCATATTTATTCATGTGAACTTACAGTTATTTTGCGAGAAATAGTTCCTACTTGCTGAGCGAAAGCTCAATCAGATATGTTCATGCTGTAGGTAAGAAACCTATAAGCAATTCTTGAATGGCAGTGGCGAGTGACGGATGAATGGTGGAGATGGGAATGGATACCGCTAACATTAAAATCTTCCGCAGTAAGTTTAAGTAAAATCATGTATATGTTTATATGATTCAAATGTTTCAAGTATGTATGTTTAAAAAGTATATGTATATATGTATGTTAGGGAAACCGAGGTTGTATCTAACAACCCTAGTTTTGAGTATTTAAATTTTAGAACATTGCAATAGTGTATGCAAATAAACGAATTTTAAACATGACGGTTTTGATTGATTTTGAAAGGACTTTAAGAAGTACTTGAATTTAAGATTTCTCACGAAATTCATTTTAAGGTCATATTAGATGGCCCGAATGTATTGGCTAGTTTTAGAAAGGCTCTTAAAGAGTATGTGAAACAAGAGTTCAAACGTCACTTAGTTCAAAAGATATTTTTAGAAGGTTTTATCTTAACTAAAATTAAGAAAAGCTTTAAGTAATTTAGTGATTCATTCTTTTGAAATTATTGTTACGAATTATGAAAGTATTCCTTCTTATGTTTTAAAAAAAAATGTTCCGCAAATTTTAAGAAACCCAAGTAAGTACAAATTAAAGTTTAAGTTACAGTGACGGCCTCATAGGAGGGTCGTCACAAAAAAATAGTGAACATATAAAAGTGGTGTGTTGTGATTCTCATTCTTGCCATCGTTTAATTCGCTGATTTGAGTTTTTAATTCGAATTGAGATGTGACTTTATGTGAGAGCTTTTTACTGTAGTAAAAAAGTTAGATGTGACTGTTTTTGAGAACTTTTCACTGTAACAAAACTCGAATTCTAAACTCGAATTAGTAAAATAAACAGGGATTTTGATTTATCACTCTGAATTATATCTATTCTGACTTATGACCACTGATTCTTGTCCACTTTCATTACGTGTAAGTAAATATGCCATAAACCTCATTCAATGTTTTCTTTGCCGTGATGCATCAACTTTCTCCGAGGGAGAAATATACTATTGTCATGTTGACGCAACGACAGTAACGGAGAAAAATGAAACCACAAAAGTCAATTCCAGGCCCACCTAAAACCCAGCGACAATTGCATTCAAATGGAAGGAGAGAACAGAGAAGTCTTTCGGACTGGGGAAAAAAAAAAAGGAACAGAGGAGAAGGGAGACCAAGAAAAGCCTTTTCTCTCAATATCTCGTCGTACTCTAATTCGGTTTCATATAAACTATACGTAATCATTGAAGATGGTTGTAATCATATTCTTCTTCTCTCTTATTATCTGCTTCCACAATTTTTTAGCAGCTGATGACATCTTAAAACCAAATCAAACACTCCTAGACACCGACCAAACTCTGGTCTCCGCCGGTGAAAAGTTCGAGTTAGGCTTTTTCAGCCCACCGAATTCCAAGAACCGCTATGTAGGAATATGGTTCAAGAATGTAGCAGACCTCACTGCCGTCTGGGTCGCCAACAGAGATGGCCCACTCACAGACTCTTCAGGTGTTCTTAAACTCACGGAAACCGGAAATATAGTAATCATCGACAACAAAACAGAGGACCTCATATGGTCCTCAAATTCATCAGCAAAAGATCCAAATTTGCAGCTCTTAAGCACAGGAAACCTCGTGGTTAAAGATGGCAGTAACGGAAACTATACATGGCAGAGTTTCGACCATCCATACGATTCGCTCATAGCGGGTATGAAGCTGGGTTGGGACTTTATAACGGGTCAAAGTTGGAAGCTAACCTCCTGGAACAGCCTCCAAGATCCATCCACAGGAAGTTTCACGTACGAAGTAGATCCTCACGGGCTTCCTCAGGTACTTTTGCGCAGAGGCATAGATATCGTGTACAGAAATGGGCCTTGGGATGGTGTCCAATCAGGCGCAGATCCGCCCCTCCAAGATGTCCCGATCTTTGAACCCAACTATGTTGCCAACGGAACCCACGTGTACTTTACCTTCGACAACGTGGACAATTCCACGGTTACCAGGTTCTGGTTAAATCCATCGGGGTCTCCTGAGCAATTCCGGTGGAACCATGCCAACGGCAAGTGGGTTAGCACCTACTCGGTGCAGAGAGACGATTGCGACACATTTGAGCGTTGTGGTCCTAATGGTTTTTGTGACAGCGGTAACACCCCGGTTTGCCATTGCCCAACTGGGTTTGTTCCAAAAGTACCGGAAGACTGGGCTGCGATGGATTTCACCGGCGGATGTGTGATAAAGACACGCTTGAACTGTAGTGCAAGCGAGGGGTTCAAGAAGTTCTCACGGTTGAAATTGCCGTATGGTTCGGAGTTTACAGTGAACGGGACGGCGGTGAGGAAGGAGGACTGTGAGTTGATTTGCAGGAGGAATTGCTCGTGTGTGGCTTATGCCGTGGCTCGGGTTGGTGGCTGTGTGGTGTGGTCTGGGGAGTTGATTGATGTTAGAAGTTTCAGCTCTGGTGGGCAAGATCTGTACGTTAGAATGGCTGCTTCTGAATTTGGTAAGTTTAAATCTGTTTTTTAGTTTGTATACAGAGAAGTGTAACGGAAAACTTATGCTAATTTCTACAAATCTAAGTTTGAAGTACATGGCAAGTTCAGTAAGTCTGATGGAGTCTGGATTTTAGGCCTTTGTTTTCGTTTTTTTTTTTTTAATTTTATTTTGGATGAAAGTAGTCTGGTAGATGTTTTGAAAAGTCATTACCAAGTACCAAACCCGCGTTAATTGACATTATATTACACTTTTTAGACCTTATATATTCTTCTTTTCTTTTAAATATTTATGTTCCATGGAAAGAACGCAAATGAGTTCCTCTTTTCCTTTAGTGTTTGTTTATAAAATTAAGACTGATTAGTATCATAAATGGCCCTTAAATGTTTTACCTGTTTTAATATGCCCCGCAAATCTTGAAAAAAAGATTTATTTCACCACTAAATTATGAAAAGTGGTTCAAAACAACCTATGAATTAATGTTATTTCATAAATATCGCGTGAAGTATTGATTTTGTATCAACTTACCTCTTGATTTTAAAATAAAAGGACAAGTTGATCTAAAATCAATTGTGGGGTATTTATAAAAATATAAGAAATGTTACGTTATCATTTGTTAGTTTATAAATATATTGAGTATTTTGAAATAAGTTGCATAATTTAGGTGGTGAAATGAGTATTTTTCAATATTTAGAGAGCATGTTGAAACAAGGTAAAGCTCAGGGGTATTTGTGAAATTAAACTAATTAAGAGTGATAGTTTGAGGAACATTATAAGGAATAAAGAAAATGGAATACTTTTTTTTTTACCCCTTTTGGAGCCTGATTTTGGATAAAGGTAAAGGATCCCATATTTATATATTATAACGCAATAATTTATCTAATTATGTAAAGAACATTTTAATATAATTACACTGTTAGGATTTCTATTCCTAATTTAGTAAATACTATAAATTATGATCCTTTTTATTTCTACTTATTTTTCAAACTTATTACCTTTCTTACTCCTAATGGTTTGGTAAACATGTCCTTAATATATTCTTTAATATGCTGTGGTTGTTTATAGTCACAAAATCAGACAATAGCAAAAAGATTGCGGTGATCATGTCAATAATATTGGGGTTTCTTCTATTTTCTTTGGTGGGTGGATATCTCATCTGTAAGAGAGCATCCTGCTTCCTTACAAGCCAAGGTAAGTTATACATTTTTTGTTCTGTTTGAAGAACAAGACAAAACATCTTAACACTAATGAGCACTTGGTAACATAACAAGTTTAAAGAAGAATAAGTTTCAGTATATATGTTGTAGTTTAATAAATTACATAATTGACCGCATTTCATGTTATTACCCAAACTTGTAACATGGTAAAATCAGTTAAAAATTTTAATAAGATATATACTAAAACAGCAGGAAAACTATGATTTTGTTATTAGGCTATTTAATTTCAAAGAAAATAAACTTTTTTTTTTTTTTTGGGTTTTTTAATTTAAAAAAAAAAAAATTTTTTTTTTTTTTTGGTTAAAATCTGTAAAACTTCTCAATTAGTTGTCGAAGCAAGTAAAAATTACTTCATACTTGCAAGAAGGATTCTGCAAATCACTATTATAGTCGAAATAAAAAGACACGACAACTATTGTCGTTATGGCCTGACACTCATATAGTTATTGTATTAATTTTCTGTTTTTGCAGAGGAATCAATATTTAATTCAAACAAAGATCAGGGTCCTCTTCTACTGGAGGAAGATTTAGAGCTACCTTTATTTGGCTTGGATACTATTTGCAATGCTACTAATAATTTTTCCTCCACAAATAAAGTCGGAGAGGGCGGTTTTGGTCCTGTTTACAAGGTACCGTATTTTTTATGCATTATGATCACCTTTATTGTGGATTGAACAATCTTAATTCTTCCATATGTTTTTCTTATATTCCTTTTAGCTAATAACACGACTTTTTTATATAGGGTGTGTTCTCGACTGGACAAGAAATAGCAGTGAAAAGGCTTTCAAAAGATTCTGGACAAGGCTCTGTGGAGTTCAAAAATGAAGTTATCTTGATTTCAAAATTGCAGCACCGGAATCTTGTTAGGCTATTGGGATTTTGTATTCATAGAGAAGAAAGAATGTTGATCTATGAGTTCATGCCTAAGAAGAGCTTAGACTTATACATTTTCAGTGAGTCACCATAAAAAAATATTCTAAGTTATGTCATATATTTTATGCCTATGGTCTAAGGATATTGAAATTTAACGTTATGCATTTGAATCGGAAATAGATCAAACAAGGGAAACTGCTCTTGATTGGAAGAAGCGCTTTGATATTATAGTGGGGATAGCTCGAGGACTTCTTTATCTTCATCGAGATTCAAGATTTAGAATTATTCATAGAGATCTTAAAGTTAGTAATATTCTCCTAGACAATGAGACTAATCCCAAGATATCGGACTTTGGCTTAGCAAGAATATTTGGAGGTGACCAGGCTCAAGTAAATACTAAGAGAGTAGTTGGGACATAGTAAGTTCAACATGTCTCTAATTGTTCCTCTTTTTTTTTTTTTTTTTTCTTTTTTTTTTTGCAACTCAAGAATTAGTTCTATTTGAATCAACCTTATAGTTGTCAAGCTTTATGGGATTCATTTCTCTATTTTTCTTTGATGCAGTGGTTATATGTCTCCAGAATACATAATAGATGGGCACTTTTCGATGAAATCTGATGTCTTTAGCTTTGGTGTCATGGTTTTGGAGATAGTGAGTGGAAAGAAGAACAGAGAATTTAAACATCCGCATCATAACCTCAATCTTTTGGGACATGTGAGTTGAGATTTAGGAGTTAATTTTACTTTATTCCTTTTTATCATGTCTTTCTAATTTTTAACATATTGACTCTTAAATAAATTAATCATTTGTCTTAGGCATGGAAACTATGGAATGAAGGCAAGGCTATAGAGCTCATAGATGTTTTAATGGAGAATGTTTCTGCCTCAGAAGTGTTGAGATGTATCCAAGTAGGATTATTGTGTGTTCAAAAGCGCCCTGAAGATAGGCCGTTGATGTCATCCGTTCTTTTCATGTTAGATAGTGAAAATGCTTCAGTGCCTCAACCTAAACTACCCGGATTTTACACGGAAAGAACTTTTATAGAGTCAGTTGATTCTTCATTGTCATCATTGAAAAAGCCAAATCATGTTTCGACTGACGTAACTGTTACGATATTACAAGGGAGATAAAAATAAAAAAGAAAAAGAAAAAGAAAAAAGAGGAAAGAAGAAGATGATTGAATTGATGCAAGGAAAAAGTCTTCGTTTCGTTGTTCTAAACCAATTCTTAGAGGTTTTGCAGAAATTAAGAACGTTCAAATATATATATATATATATATATATATATATATTTCTTATGTATCGTCCAATTATATTACTCATTTACATGAAAACAACGCTATTCGTGTATGTGTGATAGATAACAATGTTTACGACAGTCTTTTCTGTTTTATACGATAAGTGAAGTACCCACGGAGAATTTAGTGTTAACAATGCATTGTTTGTAGGAAAGCTATATGCTGCACTGAATATAGATAAGTCACTTTCTTTTTTTTTTATTTTTTTTTTCTTGTTCTTCTTTGAAAGCAAATATCAGCTATTCTACGCTTAAAAATAATAATAATAATAATAATAATAATAAACAAACCTTTCCAAGTCCTAAGCACGCAAATTTGAAAATGTCCTAAGATTTTTTTTTTTTTTTTTTTTTTTTTTTTTCGCATTGCACAGATCACGTTGACCAAATATAGACAGACACATGAGTTTCCTGATGATTGGATTTTGACTTTTTCAACGCATGGTCAAGTAAAATTTTTTTATAGAGCAATGCTATTTAACACTATTACGAGTGTTGCTCTTAAACCTTTTTCTTTTTTATAGTGTTTGTATTAAATCTCATTCAGTGTTTTGGGGGTAAATCTCTCTAGTGCAAATCATTTCTCCTTGGAGACGTTTCTTGTTATGGCGAATAAGATGGCTACTGAAGATCATTTTCCAGCTTTTCAGGTTTTCCTTGGAATGCCATTTTGGAACTTAAATGGCCTTTGTTTCTTAGCCGCGCTTGAATTTAGGAACTCTGTTAATCTCTCGCACTCTTCGCTCTTGAACTAGAAATGCCAAGTGTTACTTTTGGCACACCAAAAAAAAAATATCATTTTATCTACTCAAAAACAGTCTCACGTAGACAAAATAACAATGGCAACGCAGAATTCATTGACTCGGTCTATTCAAATATAAAAAGTGATAAAATAATAACGTTGATATTGATAATAAGTCAAAATACCTTAACATTACTCAAGCAGTTGACTTTTCCTCCCCTGTACACTTTTTTATTTGTACGCACGAACTAAAATTGAAATTAACATAATATATTGTAAGGTTTGTTTTTTTTACTCAAGTGTTTCAGAGGGTCTTGTAACACTTTATGAAATGCTGATGATTAATTGCGTCTTTTTAATGCAGAAACGTAAATTAAGCAAGTAGGAAAATAGGCAGAATGTAAAGAACACCAGAATTTGGTATCCCAGTTCGGTTAAATAACCTACATCTTCGGGGTTACGCTCAGATATTGAACAATCTACTAAGTCTCAAGATTTACAGACATCAATCGGAGTTATACACTTAAAGACTCATTTCTTGACATTGTCGCCGCCATGTCAAATCTCTTTAATGGTCTTGTTCAGCGAGCATCATTCGTCTTCAAACTGCACGGTGAACTCCCTTTGGCTGGCAGTGCGCTTCCTTCTGAAAGCTTCTAATCCTTTTCTCAAGGACGAATTCAATGAAACTCAAAGACTCATTAATCACAACTCTCACTTCTGCAAATATTCTGTAAAAACCCATACCCAAAAATGACCTTGAATTGCTCTCCAATCTCAAAAATACAAAAGCCCAATATTTACTATTTTTCAAGGCACCAAACTTCACGTACACACAAACTACAATATATAGCAATAGTTAGAATACCTTACGTGTAATCCAAGAAATGAGTCTAAAAGCTTATGCTACTTTGGCACCAAGATAAATACGATTTACATTCCTAATCAAATATATCTAAGATATCTCTTCAAATCGATTATGCAGCAAATCCTTTTCAAATTCAAACTAGATCTCCACTTTTTCATATGAGCACATTACCTCCAACAAATCTGCAAATATCCTAATTTGAATATGACAGTCATGTAATGACTGAGAAAATTCCAGACTTTAAATAATACAATTTATTTATTTAAGCCAAGGATTTTCCTAGAAAATATTATGTGACTGAAGGATTTATGGAATCAATATATGTATTCCTAAATTCTGTAGCAGATTTCATGTTAAGTTCATGTTTTCGATCAAGTAAATTCGATCGATAAATTCTTGCCGTACTTTAAGGCGGAATAATTTTCAGTACAAGTATAGTTTGAGAATCTTAATTTCAAGAATCTCCAAACACAGCATGATGTTAGCAGCGTAAAAAAAAACGCACTGACATTTTTAAAGAAAAGAAAATCCTTAATTGCCAGACAGCTAGGTTAAAGTCACAAGATAGATACATATAGTAGAAGGGTACAATGTGAGCTAAGGAGTTGACACCGTCAGAAATAATGTCACTCCCGGGATATAATGCAGAAAAGTTAAATTTAGAATTTATTCAGTCTAGAATTAATTTCAAGACTTGAAACAGTTTAAGATATTACGCGAGTAAGAATTTAACGTGATATCAAAGCAGACGAGGATTAAAAAGTTGAACTGTAAATAAGTAGTAGAAAAAAAAAGAGAACTGTCAGAAACAAGAATTTCCTGTCAGCTAAGTACCCTTTACAGTTAGTATGATTTTTACCTGATTCAAAGGTAACTTAAGAGAGTGGACTAAAGTACAAGGGGTAGGATTTATTTTTCTCTCTCTCCTTCTCCACTTTGGCCGGCCATGCATAGAAAAAAATAGAGCCAAAATTGGCTAGTTGAGTGTGCTAGGGGATTACATGATAAGGTGTGATGGGATTGTGTCAAATCAACTATTGGACATAAATGCTTACCACACTTCCTTCTTGAAGCACACCACCGGCCATGCAAAAAAAAAATAGAGCCAAAATTAGCTAGTTGAGTGTGCAAGTGGATGACATGTTAAGGTGATGTGATTGTAGTGGTTGAAAGGGAATTAATGGCAAATTTGCTTCTCCTTTTCTCCTTCCAAAACCGGCCAAGAAAGGGGGATTTGAACCAAAAATTTGGTTGAATGATGATGTGGAATTGGAGTTAAATAAATGATCACCAAGTTGCCTATAAAAGGAACCAATATAGGATAAGCTTCATTTTTTTTTCTCCTCTCTTTTTCCCCACTCAAAATCCGGCCACACTCTCCACTCTCTCTCAAAATATTTTCTCTCACTCTCCTAATTTTGAGCCACTAGCAAACCATAGAAGAAGAGGAATGAGATCAAGGGATTCTAGGAGGACACTAGTCAAGCATTCTCCAAGGGTAAAGAAACTCTAAATCCCCTCTTTTTTTCATGTTTTAGTAAAGTTTAAAATGTAGAAATATTCCTCTTAAATCTCCTTACACTTTCTAGTTCCAAGCCATTAACAAGTCTTAGAGGAGTTCAAAGGTTTTCAAGAGAGAGAGAGAGTTCT